ACTATTCAGGGGCCCAAAATCGGTTTTTTATTTTTTAAAGTATAAAGTACCCTTTTAATCATCTTGTCAAAAAGATATGTTACTTTTGAAATGACAACTATTTTATAGGAAAAAATGGCGGTAGTGCAAAAAAAATTTCGACCAAAAAAAGTGTTGAAAAAAAATTTTTTTTTACTGACTTTCTGTGTGAGAATTTGGTCGACAATTTTTTTTCTCAACTGTTTTTATTGTATTGTACAAAAAAAATTTTTTCATGAAAATCGGTTCAACCGTTTCGGAGGGAAAACAATTTTTTGAATTCTTTTGAATTTTTCAAAAAAATTGTATAACTCAAAAACAAAATTTTTTTTCGAGTTGAAACTTGGTGAAAATAAGTTTCATAATAGGTCAAACTTATTCCTTAAATATGGACCCAATCCATGAGAGGGCAATTTTTACATGCTTTTACTGCTACGACCTTTTGGTATTACAATACTTCCTCATGAGGAAGCAAAATATATTTAACAGTATAATCTCTTGTAATATTTAACTAAAAATAAACGAATTTTCTCAGCCAGTCTTGGTTCCTATATATGTTACGGTCATTGTCGATTATTGGGCATTGTCGACAATGCCCACAGTCACTGGACATTGTTGACAATGCCCGGGCAATGTTGACAATGCCCACGGCCACTGGGGATTGTCGACATTGCCCGGGTATTTTTAACAAAATTTAGTAAAATGTGACAGTGCCCACTTACTTTTGAGCAATGTTATTTACGAATAAAAAAAGACGATTCAGTTATCCTGTCTTGCAGGTGCATCTTTCATACACTATTAGAAATTTTTGTAGGATTTTTCAGAAACAAGCAACGAAAGTTTTATTTATTTAAATAATTATTTCTAAGTTTGTCTTAAAATTTTTTCTATTGCACTAGATTTTCAGTAAAAAAATTATTTAAACTTATAAATATTGAATAATAATGCTAATGTTTGAAAATTATTTATTTACGGTTTATAAATAAATTTGGTCAAAAAATAACTGATAAATAATATTAATAATATTTATTTCTTACTTTTTAAACACAAAACTATTTATTCAATCAAATAATATTAATCATTCATTTATTATAGTAATTCAATTTCATAAACATAATTCAATAAATAGTTTAAAACTGAAAATTTTGTTACAGTTTCGTAATTTTCAGTTACTCTTTATACTTTTTGAAACTATTCCCAAATTTTCAGTTACATTTCATTAAATTTCCTTAACTAGTTACTGATTTTAGTTTGACTGAAGTTAGAATTCCGTTACTCATTAAGGATTTTTACTAAAAATGTAATGTAAATGTAAATTTTGTATGCGTTATATTGTGTGATTAGTTTTATATATATCATGACGTATGAAGCTATTATATAGAATTTTTGACATTGCCCAAGTTGGACCGGGCAATGTCGACATTGCCCAATAATCGACAATGACCGTAACATATATACTCAGTCAGTTAGATTTTACTCACTTTGCAATTTAAATTACTTTATTATAAAAGAAAATAAAACTCCAATACCAAATACGAATTTTTCTACCAAAAGTCTCAAGTGTCTCAACTATGACATTCTGTTCAGCTCATCAAGAAAATTTTGACATTAAACCAGTAATAATAATAATACTGATGGGACATCGACATCGAAAAATCAATGTTTTTCCTTCGAGGTCGATGTTTAAAACCTCGATGTTTTTGATGTATCAAGGTTTTTTTCCCCGATATCTGAAATCGATGTTAATTAAGTGAGGAAAAGAGGTTTTTTTCAATATCTTCTTTATTTTTTTCCTCTAACAAGTTGTGTTTTTTTATCTTTTAAATAATTGCTCTTTTCGCATTAAAAATCTTTAAATTTTGTTGTTGTTGATTAAATTTGCCCTTCTTTACCACTTTTGCTCCATTTTAACCAAAATTTTTATTAAAACCAGCCAATATCGTAGGTTTGAACTTGTGCAAAATGTGAATCATCCTAAAGTGCTAAACAACTATAAAATGTTATCTCTGTCTTAGGGCCAGTTTCACCAACTCCGATTAAAAGTTAACCAATGATTAAAGTCAGTTAACCGCCCGTGATTGGTCGGTGAAGGATTTAATCATAGATTAACTTTTAATCGGAAATGGTGAAACTGGACCTTAATATGTTAATTAATATCATTTAACTGACAGAATTTAATGTTCATTGATTTCTATATTTCATTGTATTTTAATTACTTTTCTATTGAAATCTGTAAATTGCGCTATTAAAAATTACTATTTTATGTTTTTAATTTTTTTAAAAATCTGCTTCAAATGTTATTACTATAATTTTATAAATATTTTTTTAAGAATCAAAAGAAAGTGTGAAAAAACATTAAAACACCGAAACATCGATGATTTCTTTTTCGATTCATCGATGATATTGATGTTATGAATTTTCGATGTCGATGTTTTATAAAATCGATGTTTTTCTTTCGATGTCCCATCAATAAATAAAAATAATAATAAAAAATATATGTATCAATATAATCTCTTACAATATTTAACTGAAAATAACCGAATAATTTAAGAAAGTAACTAGTTCCTATATATAACCCAGCATACTGCATCTCGTTTATGAGTGAATTTTCATGCCATCTAGGCGGAGAGTTATGGAATTATAAAGGCGCGAAATTCAAACTGAATAAAGAAGAAAACCGAACTCAGTCTAATTTTTAATTTCAAAACTGAATTTAATGTTTAAATTAAAATTTAAAAACATTTTTGTGGACCATTTTTATGAGGCCTTTTTTTTAGTGATTCTTAAAAAATAATGGCTCAAGAAAGAAGACATTTAGAGTATTAGTTTCAGGGTTTACTTGGTCGTGGATCGATTTTCAAGCAAGGACGAGTAATAGAATGAAAGCTGTTTTCGATCTAAGTGAATGATACGCAATGAACGATGGTTTAAGTTTTTATTCCGCATTTTACAATGCTATCAATTTACAAGAACTTCTCTGTATATATGTATATAGAAAATGATTTTCTAAATATTCGACAAGTTTTTTTTAGCCAAAATTCGCTCAGGACATGACACTAAAGTTAGCGTCGATAGCTGATTAAAATATCACTAGTTTCAGTTCTATTATTTGCCTAGACAGTTAGAAATGTTTCTGAACTTAAATCTCTGAAAAAATTGCCTGCTTCTTTTCGGTTTGGCGAAAAAAGTATTTTTTGACGCTCAGCGCCTACGCTAATTTCAGGAATCTCTTAGGACTCGAAACTCGAATTAAAATATTGAATATATATATTAAAATATATTCACCCGCACGATTTTAGGGACGAATTTTCATGAAAGAAAAAACTGATTTAATTAATTAGAATTAATTGTTAATAGTAATCTATTAACAATTAGAACTATTTATTTTCGTATAATAAATATTTTTAATTTTTTTAATTGTTAATTTAATCAAAAAGCAACCAGTAGACTCCCAATGGGTCATTGATACTTGTACTCAGTCCAGTTAATTTCGTTTACGAGCGAGTTTTCATGCCCTCTAGGCGGAAATTAACAATATTAAGGCGCGAAATTCAAATGTAGTAAAACAAGAAAAACAGAATATAAAAATAATATGTCAGTGTTTTTTTGTTAAATTTACAATTCAAGTAATAAAAATTTTTCAAATAGATTCGTTGCATAAAAAAGTTTTCCAGTTTCTTGAAATTCCTAACCACATTGTTTAGAATGGTAAACGAAATAAAATTCCACTCACTTCCTGGCAAAATTTATAGTTTTGGCACGCAGACTGATTTCCAATGAAGCAAAACAATAATAATAAAATTAAATTAAAACTCGATTTTCACTCGACAACTATGTAAGATCCTCGACAATCTTTCACTTATTCTTTCGAGAAAAAAAAATTTTCAAAAAATGTTTTTGTTATCAGTTTTTCTAAACTACTATTAAAGTAACATTTTTTTGAAGTCTCTATATTCCTATTGTCATAAAAATTTTATTCTTCACAAAGAAAGAATAATTCATTTTTTCTCCGATTTTTATTATTAATTTTTCAAATTGAAATTTTTATGTACTATGCTGTCGCCAAAGTTAGCATCGACACTCAGCGCCGAAAACTATCATTTGGGATGAAATTATCGCTAATTTCTCTTTTTTCATTCATCTGGAGAGTTAAAAAAAATGTTTAAGGCATTTTTTGAACATGAAAACTTTGATACAATTATTGCTTTTGAGCAAAAAATTCTTTTCGACGTTCGGCATTGACACTAACTTTACAGACGTTTGAAAAATATTTTTTTTTACTTTTAGGGACGAAAAGGTTACTAATTTTGCTTCTTTCATTCACCTAGGAAGTTAAAAAGCGTTATTTTCTTTGAAACAATTTTTTGATTCTTTTCGATTTCGCGAAAAAAGTTGTTTTCGACGCTAACTTTAGAGACCTCAAAGTGTTGGTTGAAAAAAATTATTGGTTCAGATTTTGTCTTACAGTAAATATTATTTAGTTCAAATGATTATTTATAATTCAAATAATTATTTGCTAATAAAGTTTCATTGAATGCGATAAATACAAATTAATATAATTGATTAAATGATTAAATTAATTAAATACAAATTAATCAATTAATTGATAATAGAATTAAAAACATTTTAATGTTCTTTTCATTAAAATCGCATCTAATGCGAAACAATTGCATTCGGAAAATATTTTACGACACAAAAATCAAGGAAGAACGAAAAACTATTAAGAAAATGAATCGTCCAAGTCATGTAATTTATTTTTCACAGCTCCTGAATGTATTAACAGGATGCATTCAAGGTCACATGATGTTCGATGATTGTGTATATTGCATGAGTACTTGAGTAATTACTTATGAAAATTAAACATTGAATTATGTGATGAATTATAAACACGGACACCATCTTTAAGTTCCAAGGAGTATGTCATTAACCCTTCGTTACTCTTACGCCCACATCCCGTTTCAATGTCCTTATATAATCTTACGATTTCATTCGGAAAATTGCATTTTTTAATAAACCACAGATCATTCAGTATCCAACACACAAAAAAACAACAACAAGAAATTAAAAAAAAAAAGAAAAATGAAAGGATTTCGTTCTTTACTTGTACTTTGCATTTTAGTGCATGTCGCTATAGGAAAGGTATTTTAATTCAATTTTTTATTATCTCGAATTCATTAATAATTGTTTTCTTCTATTTTCTTTAAGGCCATTTAATAATTCTTCAAATACCCTTAATAACAAAATTATAATTTGAAAATAAATTCATTTTTATGGTTATTAATTTTTAGAGACGGTATCGCTTGTTCACAATTCAACTTTATTGGGAAAAATGCATGGAACCAAATTTTATAAATAAAATTATTAAACTTAGTTTAAAAAGTGTACAAATTTAAACTGCATACGATTAAAATTACGAATTTTAATTTAAAAAAAAATTATTTTCAACTGCATACAAGCAATTTTTAATAAAAAAAAGCTTGTATGCAGTGCAAATTAATTTTATATTTTTAAATTTGTAATTTTTAACCGTATGCAGTTTCAATTTATACAGTTTTTAAATCAAATTTATTAGTTTTATTTTTAAAATTTACTTGTATGCAGTTCTTCTTTATACAATTAAATATTGTGGGCCACATTTTTTTTATATTATTCATTAAAAATAATAATTTTCATTTGATATTATTTAATATTTTTCATTTGACATTATTTAAAATAATCTTTCGTGATTAAAATATTAGTAATGATAAATAATTCATTAAAATTAATAACTTCAAGACAGGTTTAAAAAATAATCACAGGCCACTTCATTTAAATGTTAGATTTTTAATTTTACATTTCGGAAAGAAAATCTTCATTCTGTTATATATAATTATTTTAAATCACTAGATTTGAACTAAAAATCTATATTGTAAATTTTATTTATTAAGTAGTAGGAAAAAAGTCTTTTATTCTTTCTTTATTCCTGATAAATAATAATTTATTAAAATTAATATAACTTCAAAAAGGGTATAAAAAATAATCACAGTTCAGGATGTAAAATATCAAATAATTTTAATATTTAAAATTTTTTACTGTCATTACTCAATTCTGTTGTGCCTTTTCATTTATTTGCATTTTTATAATGAAAATATTAAATAGAAAATATTAACAGAAAATATTAATAGAAAATATATATAGAAAATTTTAACAAAAAGTATTTAATATCAACAGAAATAACATAGAATTTTTAATGCATTTTAAAAATTTGAATAAAAAGAAATTTTTTCCTAATTAAGATTTTCAATCTTAATAAACAAATACTGCTTATTTTTATAAATTCTTTACTCTCTTTTTCTTTATAATTCATTAAATGTAGTAAAAAAAATAATGTTTTAACTTTAATTCATATAATAGAATGAAAATTTTATTTTTATAGATTTTGCAAAGAAAATTTTTTTGTATATTTTTAATTTTGTTATATAATTAATTCTAGATACCTGAATGGATTCCTCCAGAAATGATGGATATGGTTAAAGGTGATAAAACAAGGTGTATGAATGAACATGGCACAACAGAAGGTAAAGAAAATGTTACTTAAACAATTTATAATAGTATAATTTTTTATTATTAAAATATTTTCATTATTTTATTTTATTAATATTATTTAAATAAACATTTTAATAATAAGGGAAATATTAGTTTTAATAATCAAGAAAATATTCATTTTAATAATAAAGGAAATAATTTTAATTTTAAATGATATATAATACGTTAAATTACACACGGAGAGAGAATATATATTAAATTTTGTAAAAATATTTTCAAATTGGGGAAAAAGTGCGACAAAGCGAAATTTTGATATAAAAAATACTAAACTTTAAAAAAACTTATGTGAAATTTAGTATAATTATATCAAATATCAAGAATATTAATTAAATTCTAATATAACTTTAATAAATTTCACAAAACTTTTTTTAAAGTTTAGTATTTTCTATATCAAAATTTCGCTTTGTTGCACTTTTTACGTTGGTGAAGTTCACAACGTTTATAATCAACAATTTCATAAGAAAAATATTTTTTAAGCAAATTTTTATTAATTTCTGTATAGAAAATATTTTGGTTAGTTTGTTGAATAATGATTTACAAAAGAAATATTTGTGAACAAAAAATTTTATTCTTTTTCGTAGGAAAATAATTTTTTTTTTCAATCGTTGATCATAAACGTTGCGAACTTCACCGACGTCACTTTTTCCCCAATTTGAAAATATTTTTATAAAATTTAATATATATTCTCTCTCCGTGCAAAAAAAAATCAAATTTAACATTTTTTTTACAGCAATGATCCAAGATGCCAGTGAGGGTAAATTTATAGATGATCACAGCTTATCGTGCTACATGTTCTGCTTATTCGATGCTTTCAGTTTGGTAAAAATTTTTTTAACAAAAATTTCCAAAAATCTTTGTAAAAATTATTTAATTTTTTGGTTTTGTATAGAAAGAAATTCATTTTGCCACTTAGTGTCGACTTCAGAGATTTAAGTTTTAATTGATTGAAATGCAAAACTAATTATATAATTTACTAGAGAAAAATTATGTTTAAATTAATTAAAATTAAACAAGAAAAATTATGTTAAAATATTTTTCTGTGATTAATAGTCAAATAATCTTTATTTAAATAAATATGATTTTTAAATTTTAATCTATTTTTATATTTTATTCTATTTTTTTTTTTATTTTTATTTTTAATGATAAATTTAATTTAATTTAAATTTTTTTAATTTAATTAAATGGATTACTTTCCCCTCCTCTTTTTTTTAAAAAAATAAACTTTACATTTTTTATGCAACAGGCAGATGAAGATGGTAATGTGGATGCAGATTTATTAAGTAGTTTGATGCCTGAAAAGATTCAAGCCATTGCTTTAGAAGTATTCGGAACCTGCGGTGATATAGGTACAACTTAATTTTCATTTATTTTCTAATGTTTATAAAATTTTTATATTTTTTTTTATTTTATTAATTAAAATTTTTTTGCCCAGGAGCTGACAATCCATGTGACAAATTTTACAAAATGGCTGTATGTGCATATGCAAAACGACCAGATGTAAGTAAAACAATCTCTTAAATAAAATAACTAGGTATAATTTTATTTATAATTTTCCATTTTTTATTATAAATAAAGAAAAAACAAATTTTGTAATTTATCTTCTAACTAGCAGTATATTTGTCTTATAATTTTATATATTTATAATTATTATTTTTTTTCGAAATATTATTTATTGATATAATAAATAATTTTGTGAATTACTTTTTGCAGATTTGGTTCATGGTTTAATAATTATTATATAGAAATCAAAGGAGAATTCCTTTTTCCAAATAAAAGGAGTTGTAACGCTAATGAGAATAGAGAAAATTGAGTGGATTATTCTATACATAAGAATTATGAAGTAAATCAAACTAAACTACCCATTTAGTTAATTTTTAATTGAACTCAATTTATATTTACTGTGCTTTTTTTTAAATAAACTAAACAAGGATAAATTAGTTCATTTTTAATTATACACTAAAGAAAACATTATTTACTTTTAATTCAAATATATATTTAGGACATGTCCTATTGTAAATAATTAATAAACAAATTTTCAATTGAGTTTTTATTACCAACCAAAAGATAAATGTTCCACAAGTTTTGAACGTTCAAATGAACAAAATATTTTTTGTTTTATATTCTAAATATTTTCTCTATAATATCTTTTATATTTTTGAATACTTAAATTAGTAATTTTATATAATTAACTTTTTGATATGTGTCGCAAAATTATTGTAACAAATATTTGTGAAGCAAAATTATTATTTGAAGAAGAAATAAATTTTGTTGCTTTGAACATTCAAATCTTTAGGGACATAAAAAAATTAAGTTCCATTCCTAATTAGAATTTTTGTCAATTAATAATAATTAGAGTAAGTAACATCTAAACTAATCTAACATCTTTCTAAACGAATAAGAAAAAAAAATGAAAGCATATGAAGTTTTTCATTATATTTCTCATGCAACTCATTTCTAAAACATGCCAAGTGTGATTTTTTCTATTTTCTAATTCAAATTATGTATTCAATATTATTTTATGATTTTATTCATAAATATAATTATAAATTAAACCATAAATTTATTTATAAAGTATGTAAATTTATTTATAAAATTTACAAATAATTATATAAATACAACTAATGATTGTTATTTATTTTAAATTTTATAAATTTATTTATAAAATTTATAAATAATTATAAATATATAACTATAGATTTATTTATAATTTATAAATAATAAATACAACTACAAATTTATTTTCTATTTATTGAAACTAATAATATGAAAATCAACAAGAGTATAAATTTCAACAATGAGAACAACAATAACCAAATAGTAAAGAGAGAACGAAAAAAGACTAAATAAAGAGACGATGTAAATGATATCGAAATTTTCATGCGCACAGTGCATAAAAAGGCAAAAAAGAAAAAAATTGACGAATGCGAAAATTATAAAATTGCATCTAGATAAATAATTTTTCCAATGGTCTGAGAATTGAAAATGACAAAAAGAATTATTTTCCTTATATCTCTCATTAAAAATGATATATTACATATAATTTCGTGCAGAAATTTTTCCCATGTCAACCGCAATGGTAATTAATTATACTATTTTAATAAACAAATTTTTCTCTCTATCAACTAATAAGTGAACAAAAAATTTCCTTACTAGAAAAAATTTGCCCACAATTATTTTCGAGAAATTTGAAATTTTTAAAAAATTAATTATTAATTAATTTTTTTTCAGTAAATTTGGAATTTTCTTTATTTTTATTGTTTTCTATTCTTATTATTATTTTCATTTTTACTTTTTTTTATTTGTATCATTTTCCATTTTTACTATCATTAATAATTTGTATTTCAATTTCCAATAGTAAAGGAATAATGAAATTGGATGTTGAAAATTTTATTCTATATCAATACTAAAAAAATATTCAAATCGGACGTTAAAAATTTTATAATTCTCAACAGCAGAAAAGTAACTAGCACATCAAAAAATGATTTCTAATTTCTACAGTGAAAAAAAAAATTTATTTGATTCAGATAACCGATTACTTGACTATTATATCAAATGAATATTTACTTGAATCAAATAATTTTTATTAGAATCAAATAAATTTTATTTGAATCAATTATATTTCAGTATTATTTGAAGAAAATAACATTTAATTGATTTAATTAAAAATTATTTCATTCAAGTAAATATTTATTTGATAATAGACAAGTAATCGGTTATTTAAATGAAATAAATTTATTTTCCCGTATAATTCCTCACTATTGTGATAAATGAAAAATTTTCCCAAAAAAATGAGACCATTGGAATAGTGAAACAAAAAAAAAAAAATAATAATAACGAAAACTAGGTGATAACAACACTTTGAGAGAACAATATAAACAATGAGAGTGAATATATATACATAATATAAAGATCGGAAACCGGATATAGATCAGTACCTTAAGGTCGATCGAGTGAATAGCGGCGGAAGTCCCGGAGGGATCTTTTGCTGCGTTGATGTCGATATTGTTGTTAACATTGGGCAGCGAACCTCCGGGCCTGAATTGATTGCCCAAATTAATATGAAGGTGTTTGCTGCTGGATTGTGGCGGACTGGCTCCGGCACTTTTCACCGATAGAGGAGCTTCCGGTACTCCTGAACCCGTTGGACTCGCGCCTACAGAACTGCTAGCCGATGCAACCTGGGCAAGTTCATCAAAGAACATCCTTTGTCACCAATACGAGCCACCAAAATTATTATCAAACATCTAATCAATTATTTTCGAACAACACCAAGAAAAATCGTCTCTACTGATTTTTTCTTCTTTTTTTATTTCAAGTAATTAATTATTAATTAATTAATCAATTGCAGGCTTCGTACTCTATAATTAATTTTAAAAAAGTAGCAAAAATTTTTTTTAAATAATTAAACCTATTTATTTTGTCTTCGGGAATTAAAATATTTCAAATGATTTCAATTCAACGCATTTTTGAAATTTAATTGTACCTATTTCTAAAAATTACAAAAGTAATTCTTTCAAAATTCAATCATTTTTTTTCTTGAAATTTATAAATAAAATTATTCAAAACTTTAATCATTTTATTTTATTAAATTGTAAATCAATTCTAATTAGAAAGTTCTACGAAAAATTTAATTTTATTGAATAATTGCGAATATTTCTTAAATTTGAATTCTTATAAAGAACTTTATCAACATTTTTTAAAATAATTAAATTTTTACGAAGAATTGCATTAAAATTTTTGATAATAATTAATTATTATCAAAAATTTTAATTTTTAATTCATTCAAGAAATGTAATTAAAAATGAATTAAAAATAATTATTAAACTCTAAGAAACAAATTATATCAAATTTTTTAAAATAATTGAATTTTTTCGAAGAATTTTATTCAAATTTTTAAGAATAATTGCATTTTTTGCGTAAGTAATATAAAATTAGATTAAAAATAATTGAAATCCTGCGATGAGTTTTATTATTTATGAAAATAATTGAATTTCTGTCACCGAACTTTAATAAAGTTTTTAAAATAATTGCATTCTTGAGAAGAATAAAAAAAAAAAATCTTTTTAAAGAAATGATTTTTTTCAAAAAATTTTTTGAAAATTGTGTTTTAAATAATTGAATTTCTTTAAAAATTGTATATTATTTAGATATTTAGATAAAAATTTGATTAAAATTATATTGAAAACAATTCAATTATTAATAAAGAATTTCCTTAAATTTTTTTAAAACAATTGAATTCTTTCAAAGAATTTTTTAAAAATCTATTTAAATAATTGATTTTTTTCGAAAAATATTTGGAAAATACTGTTTTAAATAATTGAATTCTTGTGAAAGTTTTTTTATTTATGAAAATAATTGAATGCTTGTGAAGAATTTTATAAAAATTTTTCTTAAATTATTCAACTCTTTTGGAAATTTTTTTTATTAAAATATTAGATATTAAAAATCATTAAATTAATTCGTTTGAAAGAATTCTGTTAACAATTTTTGAATTGTTTTCAATAACTTTATTAAAATTTTTTTAAATAATTTTGTTATTTCAACAGTTAACAAATTTAAAGTAGTGTAAATTCTCATAGAAAAAAGTATCCAAATAGTAGCAAATCGTAAAAAAAGTAGTAAATAATTGGTAAGTTTTAAAATAATAAATAAATAAATAAATTAGTACTGACATGTGGTCACCCTGCAATTGAACTAATTTAATTAATTAAAATTAAAGTAATAAATTAACCGATTGTTAATTCATTAAAATCAAAGTAATTAATTAATTTATTATTAATTAATTAAAATTAAAATAATTAATTAATTAACTAAAACTAAAGTAATTAATTTTAATTAAAATTAAAGTATTTAATTGTCGTTTCTTAATTCTTAACTAAGAAAACTTTTTTTTTTTTTTTTTTTTTTTTTCTACAAAAACCTTTCCATTACGAAAAATTTCCAAAAAAAATTAATCTTTAGATTATTTTTCTTCGTGCATTCTTTTCACGTTCACTAATCAATTTAATTAATTTCTTGTCTCTATTTCACAAATTTTTTTTTCTTCAACTACAAATTTTGCGAAAACGAAACCAAAAAAAAAATGAAAGGAAAGGAAAAAAAGTAGATTAAAAAAAATAATTATTACGACGTTAAAAAACGTCGAAATATAAAAATAAAAACTTCAGACTAACGAAATTTCAAAACCAATAACTTATAAAGTGGATGAAACTGTTTTTCTCCCTCTATAGGAAAAAAAGAGATATTTTTTCTCTCGACAAAAAACGAAAAAGACAAATAAAAGGAGGAAAGACAAATCATCGAAATCAACATACAGAAAAATACAAATAATCTAATTACAAAAAAATGTAAAAGAAGAACCTATGTAATTTTTTTTTTTTTTTTTTTTTAAAGAACTTCCGAGACCGAAAAAAATTCCTAATTTTCACTCTCAACTACACTCTCGTTAAAGGAAGAAATAACATTCACTGTTTTCCCTCCGCACACTAACTCCTGCGTTTATTTCATTTAGGCAAAAAAATAAACCCTATATTAGAAAAACAATCTATTTAAAATGTTGGAGAAGGAGAAAATGAGTGAAAAAATGATAAAACTCAACAAAATCTAAATCCTAAGTTTTCGAAGTTTTCAATAAAATATAATAAATTATAAATTATATTTATTAAAATTATTCAGTGAAAATTAAATTCTTTTAAACAATTTTATTAGAGTTGTTGTAAATAATTAAATTATTTTTTAAGAATTTCATTAAATTTCATAAAAATAACGTAATTTTTAAAAAAATAAATTTAATTGAAAATTTGGAAAATAATTCAATAATTTACAAAGAATTTTATTAAAAATTTTTGAGAACAATTGAATTGTTTAGAAAAATTTGATTACAATATTTTTTAAAATAATTGAACCTGTTAGAGAAATTTTATTAAAATTATCTTTAATATAATTGCATATTTTTAAAAAATAATTGTATTCTTTTGAGAAGTTTTGTTAAAATTGTATATTGAAAATAATTGAATTCCTTTATAAAATTTTATTATTTATGAAAATAATTAATTTCCTTTATAGAATTTTATTATTTATGAAAATAATTAAATTCCTTTATAGAATTTTATTATTTATGAAATTATTTTAATTCTTGCGAAAAATTTTCTTATTTATGAAAATAATTAAATTCTTCCGGAGGATTTTACAATTCATAAAAATAATTGAATTTTTTCGAATGATTTTATCTGAATTTTTGAAAATAGTTAAATTTCATGAAGGAATTTTTCTAAATATTCTGAAAATAATGATTTTTTAAAAAAATCTCCATCAAAATTGTTGAAAATAATTGAATTTATATTAAAATTCTTGAAAATAATCGAGTTTAATTAATATTTTAAAAATAATTGAATTGCTCTAAAAAATATTATTATTTATATGAGAATAAAAAAACAATAAAAAAAATAATAAAACAACAAATAAACGAAAATTAAAAATAATTATCAATTTCAAATGACATGTAGAAAAATGAAATAAGCATAATATGCAGACAAAAACTATATTTGAATAAAACATATCATATTTAATTTTACAATAATTATTCCCAGTAATATTGAATCAAAAATTAATTAAACTTAACATCAAATATTTAATTACGATTCTCTACAGTTATTGAAATACCGAAATAAAATTAATTATTGAAAATCAAATTAATATTGTAAAAATTTTGAAAAATCTAAATCCTTAGATATAAAGTCAGTGAAATTGACAGTCCAATTTTATTGAGATTCACATTCAAAGGATAATTTTGATTAAACTAATGAAAATTCTGAATGGAAATTCAGAGCACTATATATACATATATACATATTATAAATTCTTTTAACGAGAACGATATGTTTTCAATTGAATGGCACAAAATAAGCTATTCACATTGAAAAATAATAATGGACATATATATATATATATATATATATATATATATATATATATATATATATATATATATATATATATATATATATGTACGTATAACGCATCATTAAACCGTCCAATGATCGGTCCATTTCATTTCACTTCAAATGATATACTTCATTGCCTTCAATAATTGATCATTCTTAATTTTCTCCAAAAGAATCGATAAAAAAAATTTTTTTACTCATGGAAAAAAATTACTATGAATTTAAATTATTTGTTCTTTTTATGTTGTCAAACAGAAATTCACATTTTACGGAAATAGATTCAAAAAGATAAACAACGTGAACACGAGAATATGAGATACACAACTGTTAGTATCGACTGAACATCCGACGGATTATCTCTTGTCCAGAAACATACAACTCCATTTGTCGATGTATCTGCATGCAATAACACATTCTTTTATATATATATATATATATATATATATACCGCCATTAATAAACTGAACATGAATTATTCAAGAGAAAAATATGATTCTCTTTCAGATTTCTTCAAAAAAAAAAAATAATAATAATAATAATAACAAATTGAAATTGATATCAATTTATTTTCTTTCAAAACACAATATTGATAAAAAAAAAGATGTATACCTTTTATTTATATTTTATGAATTTAACATATTGCTTGAGATTAGTAATTAATTTAATAATATTGTTGCATTGTCAGGGTTGCCACAAATATTTAATTTTATTTTTCCCTGACTTTTCCCTGATTTCCAGACTTTTTCCTGAATGATTTTGATTTTTTCCCTGACCCTAAAGAATATTCTGATTCACTCTAAAAATTATTAGATACTCAAAAAAATGTCCTATTACATTTATTTACAGATTTCTTTAAATGTACCTAAAATTATTAAAAAACATTAATAACTTCTTTTTTTAAACAAATATTTAATCATTATTATTTTTCCGTAGCAATTAAAATTCTTCAAAACATTCAAATTCAAACCTTTTTGAAATTCAACAACTTATAAGAATATTATTACAAAACATAAAGTAAGCAAGCACTCTGAGTCGAAGACTCGGAGTGATCGCCTTCTTCATGTTTTGTAATAATTTAAATTACAATAAAATTTTTCAAAAAAAAGTTAATTATTTACAAAATATTATTAAATTAGTATTATTATTATTAAATTATTTACAAAAATCCTAATAAAATCCTTTGCAAGAATTCAATTATTTTTATGAATTGTAAAAATTCTAAAAAAATTCAATTATTTAAAAAAAATATAATAAAATTCGTTGCAAGAATTCAATTACTTTCATAAATAATAAATCGATTATTCGGTAATTCATTTTTAAATCAATTTTTAATAGAAAATTCTAGAAGAATTTAATTATTTAAGTTAAAAAATAAATAATTTATTGAATAATTGAATGTTTGTTAAAATTGAATTCTCATAAAGAATTTTATCAACAAATTTTTAAATAATTGATTCTTATGACAAATTTTGTTACATTTTTTAAGAATAATTACATTTTTCGAGGAATTCGATTAAAATTGTATTAAAAATAATTAAAATCCTGCGATGAGTTTTATTATTTATGATAATAATTGAATTATTTCGAAGAAATTTATTAAAAATTTTGTATATAATTGAATTCCTGTGAAATTTTGCCAAGAATTTTATTAAAATTTTTTAAAATAATTGAATTTCTGTGAAGAATTTTATTATTTATAAAGATAATTGAATTCTTGAAAAGAACTTTGTTAATTTTTTTTTAAATAATTGAATTCCTGTGAAAATTTTATTACTTATGAAAATAATTGAATTATTTCGAAGAAATTTATTAAAATTTTTGTAAATAATTGAATTTCTGTGAAATTTTGCCAAGAATTTTGAAAATAATTAAAATTTTTTGAAAATAATTTAATTTCGGAGAAGAATTATTTTATTATTTAGAAAGATGCTTCAAATTATGACAAGAAATTTTTTAATTTTTGAAAATAATTGAATTTTTGCGAAGAATTTTTTTATTTTTGAAAATAATTTAATTCTTCCAACGAATTTTATTCAAGTTTATAAAAACAACTGAATTTCTATGAAGATCTTTATTATTTATATAAATAATTGAATTCTTGCTTCGAATTTTATTCAAGTTTATAAAAATAATTGAATTTCGGTGAAATTTTCCTGAGAATTTTATTAAAATTTTTTTAAATAATTGAATTTCTATGAAGAATTTTATTATTTAAAAAGATAATTGAAATTCTGACGAGAATTTTATTATTTATAAAGATAACTGAAATTTTGACGAGAATTTTTTTAAAAAATTTTCAACATAATTGAAGTTTTACGAAGAATTTTTATAACTTTTGAAAATAATTGAATTTCTAAAATCATTTGTAACTTTTCCAAAATTCAATTTTTTAGTATTTTTAACTAAAATTCTTCTATCAATCTAGTATTTATGAAAATTGTAAAAATTATTCATTAAATAATTTATAAGTCATAATTTTATGATAGTTCTTGAAAAATTAAATTATTTAAAAAAAATTATTGTCAGAAATAGAAAAAATTGAAGGTTTTGTATTAAAATTCGTGGTAATTTCATAGTTTGCAAGGCCAACAAAAAAAAACATCAAAATTCAGTGTCTTCTCATGAATTTTAAAAATTTAATTTTTTCCAGTACTTTTACTAAAAATCCCTGAATTTTCCCTGATTTTCCTGACCAATTTTACTTTCCCTGATTTCCCTGACCTATGGCAACCCTGATTGTAAATAAATAATTCTAATAAATTTTCAATTTTTAATGTTTTTTCATTTTATGAATTCAGAGAACATATTTTTTTTCAATTTTGAATGACTTTGAATATTGTTATAAAAAAATAAATAATCTTAATTCTTATTAATGAAATATGTCGATAACGTCTATAGTGACATTCTTTCTAAAAATTGCGAGAGATAACTGCAACACTTTATTAAAACGCAATTTTGTTATCGCGAAAATATATTGCTTTGCATTTAAACGTGACTGTTAAACTTTTACGAATTGCGGCAAATCTATATACATATGAAAATTATTATTATACAGGAAATTTAGAAAAACATGGTACAAAAATATCATCAGATAATAGTATTTAAACAATATATTGTTTGTAATAAAAATATTATTTCGCCACATAAATTTTATTTTTAACAAAATAAAGTGAAAAGACCGAAATTATACTCGAAAATGTATTTAAAGAAGCGAGAGGAAGAAAAAGAAAACCATTAATTAAGTTATTATTTCAAACAAGTTATGCAATTATAAATAATTGTAGATTAAAATAATAAGTGTTACTACGAGTATTTCTTTTCTTAGTCAAACGTTATTTATTTTAAAATATGTTTAGATAAATTTTTTTTTTTTGCTAAGTATCGAAACTTTTTTTTCTAGCTATACTTGCATTGTATCAATAAAACTAGGATTGAAAGACCCAATGCATGACGTATCTTCATGAGATAATGACCCGTCACACGTGGTAAACTAGATTCCCTTCTTTACGTTTACTATTTCAATTTACAATTTTAGGTTTTCTTGTCAATCGTTATACAAGAATCTTGATAAATTTCTAACACTTGATAATTTTCAAACTTCCAGGAATAAATAAAGAAACATTTCAAAATTAAATACACAGAAATTAAAAAAATTGATTAAGTGTCAGTTGAAAAAAAAATAAATGCATTAAAACAAAAATACAAGTCTTTTAATTTCTGGAAAAATCTCCACAAAAAAAATGTCAACTTCGTAATTTTAATTAAAACCGAAGAAAAACAAAAAAAAATCAATTTCCATGTTGCTACACACACCTCTAAAAATACTCGGTCGCCCCAAGAGTCGAATTTCATCTGCAGTAATGTTGACCAGATTAAACTCTCAGACTCCGAAAAATAAATGATCATTCTTTAGTTAATATTTACACGACTAAAATTACTGTACTTTAGGATTTTCTCTCCCCCGTGGAGGATGTTAACGATTCCAAAATAAGCCTCAAAAAAGAAAAAAAAAAAAGTGTTATTGTCATAAACTGTACATTAAGTATACAAACTGAAAGAACCTCTAGGTCGCGAATAGATCAAAAAGTCAAATCGGTAAATACTCGAAAATTCCCATCTCATCTCATGAATTAAAAAGAAGTCATTCTAAAATAAATATTAACTATGTATGACAATAAAAATAAACAATTTTCTATCAAAATTATAAAAAAATTTTCTTTCTCCCTGATCAACTATATGAAAATATATTTTCATAGAAGAAAAAAAAAGATCAAAGGAATAATCTTAGTTTTGAAGGTTAGGTTTCTTAATAGACATATACATAATTTTGAATAATGTATCCGCATTACGCAGCACCACTGGGTGTTGAATGTCAATAAAAACAAGTCCAACCCACGGACAATACTTCCCGGCAAACCAAAATATTAATTTTTACTAAAAAAAAAATTAGGAAATATACTTGTAAATTTTTAATTAAAACAATAAAAACTGAAAATTCGTATAAGAAATATATTTCTAGTGTTTGCTGGGACATTCTCGTAAAGAGGTAAATCTCTCGATTGTTTACATTTTACGTCCGGGTCTTTGGACGACCTGCTTGTTAAATATAACCGGCAACAAAAGATGAAATTAAAAATGATCCTTACTCTGCTGGTGACATCGGAAACCTCCCTCATAATCGCCTCGAAAGCGGCCGTTTCCTCCGCCTGCTTCTGATTAAGCAGGGCAATCTTTTCACTGAATTTCCGAGGGTTCGCCATTATGGCCAGACACTTTAAACAAATTTTTCAACACCGAGTCGTCAGATCGCGAACACAACACAGCCACAACGAATTTAATAACAACAGTATACCGCACCCGATCACGCACCAATTAAGAAATTTTCAACTTCAACAAGAATGAATTCACTGCCTACTTCTGGACAGTAGATCACTGATACGCAAGATTATTGAGGCGCAGCGCGCCACGCGCATCGCGCAAATAATTTCTTCCAAAATAAAAACAAAACATGTACCGCGAGATGATGAGGTTACACGAAGATGTTGTCCTCGTTAAATTAACCATATAATCGAGAACGTTAATATATTACCGAAACAAGTTGTCGCATTATCAATACTTTCTACTTTTAAGTTAATTTTTTCCTTATCACAGTTTACCACTTTTATCACTCTCGCGGTGACTCGATTTTCTCTCTCTTACTTTCGCGCGCACTCTCCCTCGCGCATAGTAATCTATAGTGCCTGCAAGTGGTAATCTACAGTTGCAGGTATTCACTTTATCAACAGTAGAAAATTAAATTACTTACCGACCGTTTCTTGCGTTTGAAGTTTGGTAGGTGGCCGAAGGACAAACTTGCGTTTGAATCTCTTTTGACTTGATCTCATGAATTTATTATTTCTGTTATATATTTAAAACTTAAAATAAATATATTTTCTATAATTTATTCGTTAATATGAAGATTCGATCTTCAGTAAAAAGTGAAACCTAAATTGTGTCAGTTTAAATAAAATCACTACGAAGACTTTAACATTGAATACTTTATAGGTTATAATTTTGAGAAGACAACAACAACAATTTTATTTAAAAAAATTCGTTTTATACTTGAAACTGAATAGAAAACAAAGGAAAATTCTTATTTCTGATTGTGGGGAAAATGGAAAAATTGTTGAAAAATAACAATGAATGAGTCAACTTGGATATTGTTGAGAAATAACAAACTGTTTGTTGAGGATAAACAAACGAACGCAAAAGTAAGTTTGAATTGGATAGAAAAGTCATTTACTCTAAAAAATGACCCTAATATAAAAATAATACTAAAAAGCGAAATGGGAAAAATACTAAAAAAACTAAAGAAAAATCGGAAGAATAGTAAAAAAATCACCAATAAGAAAAATAATATAAAACAAATAATAAAAAAATAAAAATAGGTAGTAAGAAAAATTAACTTGTTTGGACAATAATTATTATTATATTTATAATAATAATAATATGTCCTCACGTGAAGTAGTGTTGTTTTATTCCAATTTTTTGTTTTATAGTTCGAATTGTTATGTCAAAAGTTTGACAGTTAATTTGTATAAATAATATATTATTATTATTATTTTATAAAATAAGTGTAGTAAGAAAATTTAACCCCAATTTCAAAAATTCAATAATACAGTTGCAATTTTTTAAAGTAATTAATTATTCTATGAATTATTTATTTTTGTATTTAAATAATTGAATTCTGATAAGAATTGATTTAAAAATGAATTTTAGTTAAAACTTTAGAAAATAATATAGAAGTGTTAAAAGTATAGGATTCTTCTGAAATAATTAAAGTTTCAAAAAATTTTAAATTTCAATCTTTGAAGTTCTAATTTTGCTGTAAAAGTGTCATAATATTTAAATGTAAAAAATTATTAATTTGTTAGCTTCCTTACAAATTTAATGTTTTTAATAATATTATTTAAATATTCTAAAAAAAAATAATAATTGAATTTTGGAAGACTTGCAGATCAAATTTCCATAAAAAATTTTTCTAATGGTTTTACATTGAAAGTATTTCGAAATTTTAAGCAAATAAAAAACAATAAGTATTTTAATATTTATTTTACAAAAATGATTGAAATTTAAAAGATTTAATTTGGAAATTCTGAAAAAATTAGGTTTTTGAAAATAGTAATTAGAATTTTTTTTTGAAATTATACTTGAATTCCCGAAAATAATGTTAAAAAATTAAAACAAGTGGAAATTTTGTAAAATTTTTATATTTTAAAGAATTTTATTTTTTCATCTTTAAAAATTATCTATAAATATAATTGAATTTTTGAAAATACATTATTTTATTAATTTACAAAAATTATTCTATTTAAATAATTCAATTCTCGTAGTTTAATTTTTTTCAAATCAAAATCCTATCAGAATTTAATTCAGAATTCAAATTTTAAAAAATAATTGAATATTTAAAGCGTTATAACAGGAATATTAGGAATTAATTAAATTTTAAAAGGTTTTTAAATTAAACTTCTTGAAAATTTAAGGGCAGCAAAAGTATAAAAATATTTTTATTTTTATTTAAAAAAAATTTTTAATTATGTATAGTATTTTTCTTTAAAATTTGTTGAAGTTTTCGCAAAAATTCTAAAAAAGTAATTGAATTTTGGAAGAATTACAACTGCAATTTTTTGAAATAATTAAATTTCATGAGGTTTTTCATTAAAATTATTTGAAATTTAATGCCTGTGAGAAAACAAATAAGAATAAGTTTTTAAATTTTTGTTTAACAAAAAGTATTGAAGTTTTAAATATAATTTAATTTAGAAATCCCTTAAAAATTGTTTCTTAAAAAAATGAAATAAAAATTTTTTAAAAATAATTGTATTTTTTAAAATAATTTAAAAAAATTGAAACAATTGAAAAGTTTGTCAAATTTCATTGAAATAAGTAAATTTAATTTTATATTTTAATGAATTTTATTGGTTTACTTTTAAAAATTAAGTTTAAATTTAATCCTATTTTTGAAGAATTCTAATTAAAAATTTGGAAAATAATTGAATTTTAAAAAAATTTTGAACAAACTTATTATTCATTTCTATACGAGTTGTTCAAATAATTAAATTTAAAGAAATTTAGTTTAGTTTAGTAATAATCCAGTCAAACACGTGTAGGACAACCTTTATTAATTTTTTCTTCTCTAAGTCACAATATTCTACTATCATAATTAATATATAATAATTACAATATAGGTCATAATATATAATATATATTTTTATCATATTAAATATTAATATTCTTATTATCTATGCCTTATTATAATACACGATAATTTTCTTAAATTAACCCTCATATAGTATTATCAGGATGGTATAAATAATATTGTATTTCATAAAAGCACTTCTTGTTGCTTATAATATTATCGTTTCCGCGTATAGAATCATTACTCCTCTCATAATCAAACTCTTTTTTTTTACCTTTTCTTTTTCTTTTTTTAATTATGAATTGTTACATATTTCATTTACTGTGTCAGTCTCCTCGATTGTCCCTATTTAAAAAACGATTTTCATTTTTCTTTGGGCTTTAAGTCATTTTAAGTATTTAACCCTACCAATTATTATAATATCCAATTTAATGCATTTAATAAATAATTTCATTGTAGTAAAATTGAAATATTTTTCTCTAATACAATAATTATTGAATTAATTAAAATTAATTATTAATTCATAAAATTCCATTTAATATAAAATGACAGAAATAAATTTGACTATATAAAATTATTTTTCTATTACTAATAATAATTATTATAATTAGTAATAATTACACTATAATTAAAAATACGATTTAGAAATTAGAATTTAAATATTAATGAAAAGTGATGTACATATTTTACTCCTTTTTGGACCCAACTATTAATTGCTATTTTTTTGTTTTTTTTTGGTATTTTTTCGTTTATATAATCTAGTAGTAAATAAATAATATTAATATAATTATAATAATATAATAGAAAAAAATAGTAGTGTTAATAAGAGTACGTAATTTAGTAATTAAAGTTAAATCGAATGACCTTATCTATATCACAATTTACAATTATCTGTAATGCCCGTTTATAATTAAGGTTTATTAATGGAATTTCTTGTTTAATTAAAAATTACAATTTTCATATATTGTAAAAATTGCAGGAAATCGAGTAGACCTTTGTATTTAATAATATATTCGTTTTTTTTTATTTTTGGATTTGTAAGAATCAAACACGGAAACCAAGTTCTATCTCATCGAGCACCCTGGATTTTTTTTTTTTTTTAATTAATCACAGGTCCCAAATTGCTTTACCAACCAGAGATTAATATTGTTTAATATTTCTAGTGATTACGCAATTATGATTATTATTTTTTTTTGTTTTTACTTTCTCTCATAACAACTACACAAAATTGCCGCAATTTTTTTTTTTTTTAGTTTTTGAGTAAATATAATTTAATGATTGCTTGTAGCCTCGTTCTTATTTTTTTCATGTTTCCCTTGTTTATTGTTTGGTTTGATCTATTCTCAATTTAAATAATTGGTTTTTTTTGCGCGTATGGTTGCTATAATATGTTTACGTCATTTATGAAATACTTTTTCGTTAGGCAGAAAGCAGAAGTCCTAAAGCACCCATTTTTTTAATAATAAATGAAAAAAAAATGCGAGAAAGTAAAAAATAAATTGTGATGAAGAATTGTAAACAAAAAGGAATAATAATGAGGGAAATAAAAATATTTTATACATACCTTGAAAAAGATGATTGGTGATGAATGAATGAACAAAAAGTATGATATAATAAAAGTTAATGATTTTTGAATATTTTCGGCACTATGCTTGAAAATAAAAATTTTCTTCTCTAAAAATTTGAATTAGTCCGATTTCTCAAAACTATTTTCCTTTTTTTGTTAGAAAGAAAATCAACTGTTTTTTATTTTTTTTCGAGTTGCGGAAAAATTATTGATTGAAGGAAAGAGTTATAATTTAGAAAACAATTTTTTGACACTTTTTTTTAGTTTTTGTTTTCTTGTCCTTTTCTTTTTATTTGATTTTTGGGACTAATTCAAATTTGCAGACATTTTGATAACTCTTTTTGCTAATTTCAAATAATGTTTGTGATTTCAGATTTTGAAATGAAAAATTTACTTCTGCAACCCTCGGAGCTTACAATTACGGATTTCTTTTTGCTTTTTTTTTGTTTTTTTTTTGTTAAAAAAGATCTACAGGCTTCGATAGAGGATTAGTAGAATCGTTGTCATTGGAAAGATATTTCCTTGAGGTATTATATTGATAGAAAACAGTGCTTCTGTTTATAATGAGGCGTCGAGATGAGACTTGGTTTTAACATTAAAGCTAGTTTGACATTAAAAATTGAAAAAAAAAAAATTGGCACCGATTAAAAAAAACGTTTTTGTTTATTCACTCTCAAATTGGATTCCTACTTTTCTTTTCCAAAGAAGAAAAAAAAAATAAATAAAATTCATGAGATGAATATTGGGAGACGTTATTATAATAATAGAGATTTACTGACAATAACTATTTGCAAATATTTTGAATAAACATTCATTGGTGTTTGGCAATATTCGGCTCATTTTCCTGAAAGTTATTCGACTTTGAATTATTTTAAAAAACAATTTTTTTTATAACACTTGTAGCCGAGCCGATTTTTTCTTTATAGTAGTGATAGGATATTTTTTATAAGCATAAAAC